TTTTTGGTCGTTTTTTTTTCTCGTTTTTTTCTGTAATTCAGATATACATTCGGGATGCCTGCGCCCGGTAGTCCGAGCCTCGGCCCGGATCGGCATACCGGTCGGCCGAGGCTCGGACTCGATAGCTGGGCCAAGTACTGGTGGCTTAACCAATACAGCCAGTGCAGTGTTAAAAAATGTTGAGCCATACCGGGTGTGATATCCACCTTACCCCTGCAAGGCTGTAGCGTCCGACTCGAGACACACCACACACTACACCACACGGACGCACCACACAGACGCAGCAATTCTCGCACACCTCGCTCCAACCAGCACGTGACCCCCATCGGCACCCAGCCCGCTCACACGCACGGGTCTTAACTTGCCCACGGGTTCACGGGACCCTCCACAGCGGTTATAGATCCATACATCGGGGCCTAAGGCCCTTCTCCGTCCAAGCACGGATTCGAACTGGCGACCTCCGCCTCTTGAGCCAAGCCTCTTAACCACTACAGCCGGGACATTGTGTTCAAAGAGTGGAACCATACCGGGTGTGATATCCACCGCACCCCTGCAAGGCTGTAGTGTCCCAGGCCTCGTGCAGTTTTCTTTTTTTTTTGTCAGCTTGGCTCCTAAGCCTCATTTCCTTGGGCAGTTTATTTCAATATAAAATAGGATTGTTTGGATTTTGGTCTATGATGGTCTTTTTATTGATTTTAACTACTGGTTTGTTTTATGAATGGAAGAAGGGCGCTTTAGATTGCAGATAACACATTTGGGTAATTAGCTCTGTTGGTAGACTGCCTCGTTTACACTGAGAGAGCCAGCGGGTCAAGTCCGGTATTACCCAGATGGGAAAATAGTAAAAAATGCTAAAAATAGCTTAGTTGGTTTGTCCCAGGCCTTGTCAAAGTCTCTACTAAAGCTAGAAGGGGGGGGGGGGAAGTCACCGCTAAAGCTATAAGKGGTATAAAGGAAGCAGCTAAACCGTCGACAACAACAACGAAACCCTGCCACATGACAGGCTACGTTTTTTAAATTTTTTTATTATTGTTTGTAATGTCCAGGGTGTAGTAGAGGGTGAATGCCAGGCCTCAGGAGGTGCCCGTAGTACTCATCCATTGGGAGGTCAGATGGATTGTGAGGACCTGGAGGAGTCAACTCAAGGTGGCACCATGATGCCATGACCTATGTTAATGCTCAGATCGCAAGTCGTGATCTGCGCCAAACATTCGAGACTAATATGGACCCTGTTTATCCTGTGCTGCCGTCATGAAGTTCACAAAAAGGAAACACAATAAAAAGAACAGGCTTTAAACCGCCCGTAAGCCTATTCAACTGCCCTGCCACCCCCCACCCCTCCCCTCCTTAAAAACAAACAAACAAACTGTGTGCACCATGCGCATCCGTGCGCATGTTTCGTGCACCTAGCCGCACACCATGGACCGATGCGCTGTGCGTACTGGTGCGCACGCACCGTGCAGCTCTGCACGCACAGTGCACCGTGCGGCACAGCGCAGCAGTGCACCGCAAGTATGATAGAGACGGTAAAGTAGAGATCCCAGCAAAGCTAACAGAAAAGTTTCAGGGAAAAGAAAGGAGGAAATAGAGTCAGTCACCAACTGGCCTAGCTCAGTTGGTACACCCCCCCTGGACTGAACCGTTGAAATACAGACCTGAGTTCAAACTCTGCCGGATGCAGATAAGTAAAATACTACAGTTCTGAATTACCTAGGGCCGGACAGTTCGATGATGATATCTCAAGGCTTTCACCCCTTTATTCTTCTTTGTTTTTTTTTGTTTTTAGTTAAAGAAAAAGGAAATAGAGTCGGTCACTTCTGGAATCTCTTGCTGAAAACATCAGAAAGGGCATTCCCACACTAGGATTTGTCTGGATGTATCTCACCACAGCTGCAGCCAGATTCAACCAAGGAAGTCTTAATGCGAGTACACCGTGAGAAATTTGAGATGGTTATTATGCCTACCGTCTCCACCCAAGAAGAATGCCCGGTCATTATGGCAGTGTGTAGACTGGAAGTGGTGCCAAATACAGCTATAATGACTGGGCATTCTATTCAGGTGAAGACAGTACTTCTCCACCTTGCTTCTGTATTTCTTACTACTGTGTCTTTTG